ATATCACCAGAAAAATAGCTACTGACCTACTGTCCAGAACAACGAAACCCGACCTCCGGACCTCAAAACCCGATCTCCACCGTCCAGAATGTTGGCCCATATGTTGTGAAGCTGCTGTCCAAAAATCTTGACGATCCAACGGTTCAATCTCCGGGAAACGGAATTTTTCTGCTACTGCCTGCTGAAAAACGGGATGAGCATTTCCGCTCATGTTTTGTGACTTTCTCTCTTATCTGCTGCTCTCTTTCTGTCCTCATGTGTTGAGATAGTAGCTAACCCATATTTTATTATTAGCTCCCAAAAATAGAAAGTCAAAGAAGACTTTTAATGGGCTCAAAACTTGGATTTTCCTCATGGGTCAAAAACAAAGAAAAACCCAACAATTTATGCACCTAGCTGTTTTGCTAAACAATGAAGTTAGCGATGTTTGTCATTGGCTTTTGTCCGCAAGCCGCCCTTCGCTGTCGTTGAAGCTAAGTTTGCTTCCGCCGCTATAGATTGATCCATCACTAACGAGTAACGGTCTGATCTTGATTACACAAGGGAATTAGGGGGGAATTAATTAGATTAATTAAGTAATTTAAGGGCAGTAATGGATAAATGGAATGAAAAGTCCCATATAAGGAAAACCAAATATATGATCCTATTTTTGAAAGAATGCAATATTTTGAAACCAAGAACAATTTACTCTATTTATTTTTAGTAATAATTTTTAACAATATTCAAGATGTCTTTGAGTTGGGGATTTATTCATACGTGTTATTGCATATGAATACTACTACGTAATATACTATAGCTATCAAGTGTTTGGCTGTTTGCAAAAAAAAAAAACAAAAATGAATCGAAAACAAAGATCTAGTAAACTCTTAAATGACGCGTGTTATGTCCATTTCATAAGGTGACAAACGACAATAGTCAAAAGACGATTCATAAGGCGCCTGGCAACGTAACATTGGATCACGACTAATTTAATTACTTCAATAGCTATATTTGACCATTCATATACTCCGTAGTGAATTCTTTATTAAAAATTTTTCAAACGCTGAAAAAAAATTAAAAATTTTGGATTTACTTCCGAAAATAAAATGTTGGATTTAATAATATTTTTCAAAAATTAATTTTTTAACACATTATTAAATAAAAGAGAAAATTCCCAATATGGGAGTAGAACATAGATACTATGCCAAAATAGGAGTCTTACTTTGTCAACAATGTTTGACACGGAATTTTTATGTAAGTGACCATAGTACCCTTAATGAAAAAAAGCTGAAGACTTTCGCTTTCATTAGTTATAACGGAGCATACAACAAAATACAAAAATAGAGTTTTACACAGATGTGGTTTACATACTACCACACCATATTTGGTGCTGCCAGCCACCATCTCTTGTGTCGTCGTCAGCACTGCCGCCGCCGTCGGCGACGGCTCTTCCGCTGCCGCTGATGTCACCAATGTGCCGCTGCTCTCGAGAAAGTTTTCATTTACCACTTCAGTATTTTCCAGCGCTGCCGCCGCCCTCCGGTGAGCCCTCTGCTTGGACTGCTGTGGGAGAAGCTAATTCATGTCAGGCTTAATTGATTACAAGCAAATTTTATATTGATTTTGCTTTAAATTTATCAGATCTATTTCTTCAATTTTGCTTCAATTTTACCAAATCTATCTCCAGATCTATTTTATCTGATTTTTTTTGTTGATTTTTCTACTTTCTCTTTCAATTTTGTTTTGGCTAATGTTTTTTTATATTTAATTTATATTTGACAATGCAAAATATAATTTTTGAAATTTGTTTTCAATCAATATTTTTGAAATTTTCATATTATTTTATGAATTGAATCTATAATTGATAATGCTATTTTTGTTATTTTTGCCATTTCTTTTGTTACTCAATCGGGATGGCAAACAGTGCCAAATTTTTATCATATACAAAAGATACTATTTTTGCATTTATTGTCATTTGTGTATGGCACAAAATACATGAAGATGGCAATATTATAAATGCAAAATGACATATTTTGCCAACATTTTGAAAACATGATATTTGTAAAATAATTTTGCCATTTTTTTTATGCAAAATGACATTTTTTGTCAAACATTTTTAAAACATGACATTTGTAAAATAATTTTGCCATCTTTTTTTTAATATATAAATATTCCATCTTAATACATTCAATATCATAAAAATGGCATAGCTTTCAAAAAAAGTTTTCAAAATTTGTTATATACATTAGTTATTGAATTTTCAGATCCAAAATCCTTAAATTGAAAATTTGTAAAATGAAAAAAAATCAAAATTCAGATTTATTCAATTACCGAATGTTTGTATTTTAATAATAAAAAAGTGAGATGTGATATAACATTTGTCAAAGGAAAATTATAAAGGATATGAAAAAAATTGAAAGACTAAATAAAGGAAAAGGGGAGATTGAAGAATGATAAATTTAGATCTGGAAACGGATCATATCATTCACTTAAAAATCAAATCAAATTTTGGTTTGACAATTCAAAAGGTCTGCCGCTGCGCAAAGGAGGGAAAAAAATGGAGAAGAAGGGAAAGAAGAAGAAGAGAAAGAGGAGAAGGAAGAACTTACCCGTGATTATTCCATTGTCTGCTGATAGCCGGAGTTCCGGGGAGAAATTCACCGGCCAAACCTTCGTAATCCACCGGCGGAGATGAAGTGTAGAGGTGGTCAAATAGATGAGTGCGTGCCAGGGAGAAATGGGAGGAGATGGGAGAAGGCAGAATAAAGAGGAGATAAAAAGGTGTGATGGAGACGGAAGATGCCTGACAGAATTGAAGGAAAAGCAATAGATAAAATCAAATTAATTTAGGCTAGTTGCAAAGAGGGATATAATTGGAAAAGGGAATGGGTCGGTCAACAATAAACTCCCATATCGAGAATAAATAACGAAGGTTATCGAGAATCAAATTAATCAACTACTCTTATTTTGGAACTTCCTTATAGATTTAGTCCTATTAACGACAATTTCTTTAAATAAAACGCAATCAAAGTAGAACATATGAATGAGGTAAAATTGAACATGTTGCATCTATTTAAGAACGAAGATAGTATATGGTTCGGTGAGTAACATTTTTTGAGAAAGGATCGGGTCTTGATGTCTTTGACGCGAAGAAACATTGTATGTTTGTTGGGAATTTTTGTTTATATTTATAGGAAAAATGGAGCAAAAAGGAGTATAAACAATAAATAAGGGTATAAACTACCGCGGTCTAGTCCTAGCCGCGTCTAGAGTTAGGATCGCCTCCCTCGACAATTTCTGTAGAGGCTATGTCCGCTGTTTATTCGTTTAGTTGTCTTCCTCCAGCGAGTGGTTACGTTGCTCTGTTGAAAGAGTTGGTTTTGGCGTGGCAGATTACCATCTCGGCTGGCATTCAAGTTTGGATTCGGCCGCAAGGTTACGAGTTGTGCAACAAGGATTAATACGGTCATGCAAAAAGAATTGGCAAGAGCTACGAGCGATTAAGCCTTGACGATATGAATGAAAATGGTAACAAGGAGGGAGGTTTAACTTCGTGATCACTGGTTAGAACTATTATTATTGGCAAGGCGGTGAAGTTTAATTCACATTGTTCATGGAGGTCTTGGTTTTCATTTGGAGACCTAGCAAAGGTGTTTCCATTATGGAGATCGATAATAAATGTATTTGCTCTCTTTCTACCATGAAATGGATATGTTTATGAAAGATACAAAATTTTCAAAGTTTTGGATTCAAGTACATAATCTACTAGTTGGTCAATTGATCCTAAAGGTGGCAAAAGTTATTTGCAACTCTCTAGGAAGGTTTGTTAAGCTTGATGAGAATCCTTTTTGAAGGGGTTAAGAGGGCTTATTTGAGAATTCTATTACTTAGATTTTCTTGAGTTTCATTTTTATATTCAATCAGTCATGGTAGACAACTTGCCTATCATTGCTTATTTAGAAGGTATAATTTTTAGTACGAGTAATCCTATATTGATTTGAGGATATTATCATTGTAGATAACTTGCCTATCTGCAGTAATTCTATACTCCCTCCGTCCCTAATAACTTTGCCAAGTTTGACCGGCACGGAGATTAATAAAGTAAAAACTGTGTGGTTGAGGTTTGTGCAGAGGAGAGAGAATTAACTGGAACCACAAATTCTTTACTTAAATGGGAAAATGGCAAAGTTAATGGGACATCCAAAAAAGGAAAGTTGGCAAAGTTATAAGGGACGGAGGGAGTACGTAGTACGTATTTAATTTAAGGACATATGACTAAATAGATGGTGCTTGTCTGGATGCTGTTTTGTGCGTTTTTATTACATCGATACAAGTCTTTTTCATTAAAAAAGTTAGGGTATAAAACAGAGTTTATGGAGAAGTTTAACCAAGGAGTATACAAGAATTATTACCAGGGATTTCCCAAAAATTTCCCAAAATTAGCACGATATGTTAAATCCATATAAAAAACAGTTTTACGCGAATTATTTGACACAAAATTATCAATAAATCCATGTCAAATCTGTGTCAATCTGTTAAAATGTCACACACCAGAAAGATTTGGATGATCAAAGTGCTATATTAACACATGAACTACTCCTCCTAACAGGTTGACCTTTTAGGATGGAACCCCGAATCTTAACATAGTATCAGAGCCAAATCGATTCATGGTGTGGGGCCCCTTATGAATCGTGATGACACGATTATAAAAGTGACAATTACGGCCAGATCAAAAAACGGACTGATGAAAAAAAATTGAATTATGGCACGATCTAGACGAAGTGTCTGGTCGTGAGGAGGGATGTTAAAATGTACCACACCGGAAAGGTTTAGATTGAACCCCACGATCTTAACAGATTAATCTTTTTGGATGAAACTCCGAGTCTATCCTGTATTCTTTTGTAGATATATATAGAGCAAGAAACACTTAAATTATTTGGTAGAAATAAGTGTATTTCTAAATGAACAAAAAGAAAGAATAATGAACAGAAAGAAAGGATTATTACATTCTTTCTAGCTAGGTTGTCTTGGATATCATTTTTCTGTTTGTGCGATGTGAACAAAGCCTTTCTACATACATCTCCCCGAATGGCAATGGACACATTTCAACTCTCATATACTATCACTTCATCAACTCTATAAGGTAAGTCAACGGTCAACCATCCGGAAATTAATTAACCCCTAATCTCAGACTTAGCTCAGTATCTAACCGCCATGCAAACCCTCCGCCGTCCATCCGCCACACATCGCACAGAACCACCAACCCACCGCGCCTGTCGTAGCTCTCCTCTTTCCCGCCGCACGTGACCACCCTCACCCTGCACGTGAGTGCCGCCTCCTTTGTCGCCGGCAGCAGTACCCCGTCGCCCAGCACCACCCACGCCGCCGCTCCGCCCTTCAGCCCGACCATATCGCTGTACGCCGAGTTAGTCCACGTCACTCTGTTGAGGTCGTCCGATGTGAGCCCCGGACACGTGTCGCGTTCCAGATTCATCAGTTTCTCTCGGTCACTTCGCCCTAGACTGTAACCGTCTAGCTTCCACGTGCCGGTCACGCCTTCCACAATCACCCACGACCCCAAACCTCGCAGCACCGCCGGCACGTGGCATTCTCTCAGCCAGACCGGGCCGTTAGACCCGGTCGATCCGGTTCGCTCCACCATCTCCGATGACGCCGGAGATTCTTTCCGGTCCGGTTTCTCCGGCAGAAGTGGAAGAGTAACCACCGTGGCGTCCCTCTCCAGGCTGGAGACTGACGAGCTGCAGGATTCCGTCTTACCGTAGCTGTACTGGTTTTCTATCTCCGGCGCCGGAGATGCCGCCTTCTTTTTCTTACCGCTATTTTTGCTTATCTTACCGGTTGACTCAGTTGACCTGACATATCTCCTCTTGTTCCGGCGAGTACCCTTCACAGTTTCTTGAACCGCCGGTGCGTAGGGAACAGACCCAGGGGCCGCCGGTTTCGGTGCGATCGGCCGGAATCTCAACATTATGTTGTTCACCTTGAACGTATCATAACCCATCGCCGGCTTATACCGGGAAATACAACAACCTCCCCTCCGATCCATAACTAATCAGTCTTAGAAAAAAATGAATGTCGGAGATTTCACCGGAAATGGTGATGGGTGTCCGGAGAGCGGTGGAGTGGTTTATAAAGGGGGGAAAGTGAGATCAAGGGAGAGATATGATTGGTGGGTGTGTGGGGCCCAGGTATCGGTGTGGGACGTGTGGGCCCGGGGAAGGGCCAATGAGGAGGCGGGAAGTGTCACACATGGCAGAGGGGACGGACACGTAGGGGGTGAGTCAGAGGGTGAGGAAGGGTCGAGAGAAGGGGGCACGTGGTCCAATGATATGTTCTGCGCCACCTAAATTGTTTGACGGTAGCTGTCGTGCCATTGCTCCACGTCGACGGCGGATTAAGACGCCAAATCTTTGCTCTGGATTCGGTGCTTTGACGTATCAACATATTCTACTTTTTGTTTAATTCGCCCCTATCTGTTTCCTGATTTTTCTTTTGCTCTTTTAAATGTATGCCCTCTATTATCTAATCGGAATTAACTACTCTAAACTGTTTTCCCCAAAAAAATAATGTTCGTACCTACCTTATACCTATTTTTATACTCACCATCTTTGTGCAAAGTTGTTTTTTGTCTGTGAATCGCGATCAACGACAAAATATGTCTGTGCAAATTATTTTGCTTGTGATTCAAATTCACAGACAAAAAGAACTATTCACAGACATGGTGGGTATAAAGTGAGTGTAAAAAGAATAATCGGTTGAATTAGCGTTTTTGACCGATTGAATGTTTTAGGGATTTGACTATCAAATTAAATTGAGTTAAGTTAAGTGATTCTTTTCAAGTGTTTGACAAAATTACAAGAATGTCAAAATTACACGCATGTAAAATATACGTATAGTATATACCCTAGTTAGTTACGGTACAGGAATTAAACGAGGTTTAATACGTACGCGTTTTATTCGGTAACATGAATGAAAAAAACGGTCAAAAATTCGTTGAAAAAAATGTTGACTTTTAAAAAACGTGTAAATACGCATACGTGTATAATACGTTGTCTATTACAAAAATTCGGACGAAAAATACGGGTATTATTTTGAACATTTAAATGATATATTTCATAAAATAACATATATACGAAGTAGTAAAAAAGAAATAAAAGTGTAGACATATTCAAGTAGCAAATCTCATTACTACGTACAAGAATAGTTCGTAAAAGTCATCCGTCGATGACAAAAATAAAAATAGTAATTAAGTCCAAGACATAATTTTGAAAAATAATGTCAAAAAATCATTATCTTTATATGATTATCAAATAACACTCAAGTTAAACTCATCATTTTCATTAAGATGACAGATGACATATGACAAAAGTTGTGTGATTGCAACACTTATTATTGTTTGTGTAAAAGTTTGTGCTAAAAAACGGTAGGTTTAGAAAAATCTTAATTTTGATATGCTAGTTTGAAAAAACATCAGAAATCTTGTAGTATATTACTACGTAAGTTTTAGTATTTTAGGATGCTAGCTTTAGCCATCATGCAATTAATTTTACTATTTAATAATTGCACTGTACCAATACAAAAACACGAGACCATGGGGAGGACGTTTTCATTTTTACTTTTACACTATTGTTGATCTTCTATGCATTTAGTGCATTCATTCAATTGGTCAATTCATGTTTATGTTTTTTGTAAAATACGGGAAAAATACGTTTTATACGGGAAGTAGGAGTTTTTTTCCTTTTTAAACGTCCCGACATTTCCCCCCTTATTAAACGTGTTTTTTTGGTCAAAAAAACGGTACATGTTTAAAACGCGTTTAAAACTGAAAAAAGCTAACTAGGGTATATACCGAGTATGAATTTTGAGTAGCATATATATGTCACTCATAATATTACGTAGTATCTAATATGACGTGTATATTTGAAGGATGTTATATATTATCATTTATCACATACTTACAATTAGCTAGAAAGTACTTCCTCCGGTTTTATTTAATCTTCACACTTTGACTTCACACAAAATAAGGAAAGAAATCTGACTTTACTGTAGAGTACACTGTTGAGGCACTGTTTGACACTGTAGAGACACTGTTTGGCACTGTTGTCGGTTGAGACACTGTTTGGCACTGTTTGGATGTACATTTTTTTGCCAAAAAAGGAAATAAGGAAATGTGAAGTTTATTTTAGACCGTCCCAAAAAGGAAAGTGTGAAGTTTATTAAAAACCGGAGGGAGTATAATATATGCTTTCTGCGTTCCGCTACGGTTGTTCCTTTTTTCTTTTCGGTCCACAATACAAAAATGGCCTTATACCAAATATATACTACATATATAGTAAAATTTATGTGATTGTAAATCATTTTCATTTTATTCTTACTTTATCAATTCAATATCAATCAAAATTAATTCACTTTTTTAATAATGACACCACATTCACATGTGTCAATGTAAGTGAGAGGAAGATACTATTTAAACATAAATAACAGCCGTATGCAAATTAGATTTATTTCTATTTATTTAGAGCCCGTTTGGTAGCATCAAAATTGGCTGTTTTGGCTGATTCTGCTGAAATTTATGATATTCTGGCTGGAGTGGCTGTTTTGGCTGATTCTGCTGATTTAAGAAAAAAATATTTTAAAAATATATTTTATTAATAAATTAAAGAAAAAATTATATGTAAAAATAGCTAAAATGGTCCTCTACAGTAACTTCAGCCAATACAGCCAGAAAAGTAACTCCAACCTTACTTTTTCGGCTTATTACACAATTCAGCGCGTGAAAGTAAAAGTTACGTGTTTGGTGAAAAAGCTGGCTGATAAGCCTGATAAGCCGAAAACAGAGTTCTCCAAACGGGCTCTTAATTTGATGGTTTGTTTATTTACCAAAGTTATTTAATAATCAACTTTTCACTTATATAGTTATAATAACTTAATTTAGTCCACCAACCCATTTACCTATCATGTTTTCCCTTTTCAGTTGTCCTTAAACAAGTGCCACATTTCCCTTTTGAAAAGAAATTCTTTCACCGCCCCTTAAAATGTTGCTAAGTTTAACCAGTACGGAGAATAAGAGAGTAAAAATTTTGCAATTGAGTATTGTGTAGAGAAATAAGAAAGAACACGAGTCACAAAAATAATTGATTAAAAGAAAAAGCGAAAAAGTTTTTTGATACATTCCATAAAGCGTTTTAGAGCCCGTTTGGTAGCATGAAAATCAGCTGATTTGGCTGATTCTGCTGTAATTTATGAAATTCTGGCTTAAGTGGCTGTATTGGCTGATTCTGCTGATATAAGAAAAAATTATTTTTAAAATATATTTTATTAATATAATAAAGAAAAAATTATATGTAAAATAGCTAAAATGGTCATTTACAGTAACCTCAGCCAATACAGTCAGAAAAGGAACTCCAACCTTACTTTTTCTGCTTATTACACAATTCAGCGCTCAAAAGCAAAAGTTACGTGTTTGGTGAAAAAGTTGACTGATAAGTCTGATAATCCGAAAAATTGGTGCCAAACAACCTCTTACTACATTCCATATAGTGAAAAAGTAAAATTACAATACAAATCGGGGGTTTAACAATCGTACTAGAAGAGCCCATGTCCTAGTAGACCAATAAGTGTAATATTTTATTTTGTGATTCCATTTAGATGTCATCACATCTTCAATTAAATATAGGATCATTGAAAGGAGTATTTGTTTCTAGCTCGATGATATGCAGATAAGGATAGGAGATCCGCTGACAAGGAAGCAACAAATGCAACCATTTCCAAAATCCAAGGCCTGGAGGTGAAATCGTTAGTAAATTGATGAGTTGATCGGAAAACACATATTGTATTCACGCAAATTTGCTCCGGTAACTTTCGGTCATTTTCATTATTAGTCCTATAACTTTAATCACTTGCAAATTTAGTGCTGTAACTAATAAATCTTTGCGACTTAAGGCTTCCCCCACCCTCAAAAGTACACATGCCGGCGATAGTATACCTGAAAAGATGCCACCGGCGTCGGTATTTTCTGTCGGAAAGTGTACTTTCCGGTGGAAGAGTCCTTAAATTGCAAAGATTTATTAATTACAACACCAAATTTGCAAGTGATTAAAGTTAAATGAACAATAACGATAACTACTTAAAGTTACCTGACTTAAATTGCAAATCTCCCTTGTTTAGTATACTATTTCTGGCATAACTTTCTTAGATTTCAGTATAAACGTGTTGTATTTGTTTATATTAGTATATTGAAATTATATTTACATAGTTTAGCATGAACGTGTGTAAAATTTACATATTGACATAATTTCTATACAAATTTGTGGTGCCATTTTTTGAGCTTTCAATCTACATATGTACATGAACTCCGTACTTGTAGGTCAATCCTTTTGTTCAACAGCTAGATAACACTGGAGAAGTCTAAGTGTAGAGCTTCTCAAATAGGAGGACCAAGCCTTGGTCCAAGAAATGTAAGCCGACCAAGGTGAGGTGAGGCTTCTTGAGGGTCCAAAAGTGCCTTAAAGGCTGTGTAAACAAAGTTCTATTAGGTTTGGTGAAAAATTTATTCCCCATTACTATTTGGAATCACATATGTCTAACTTACAATCACAACATTGAATAATACGTAGTATGAAGTAAGCTAAAGCTTTCGGATATCTTTAGGCAGAAGTGTAGTGTTAATTCTAGTCTATGAATATGTAACTCAAATCATTTCAAATCTCAAATTTCAAATTAGAATACAAAAGAAAGCAGAATAACTTTAATAGATGTAATGACTTGGTTCGCGATATTAGCAATAGGTTTGATTCATCTATCTCCCATCATTTTTTATGAATATTGGGAACTTTTAACAAGTATATATGGGTTTTATATACTCATTTACAATAGTATACCTTGAAGAGGACTCAAACCTCCACACTCTTCAGCATGAGATTTTGAGTCTGTCGTGTCTATTATTTCACCATCAAGGCATCTTCAAAGTGAATCACATTGATCTTTATGTAGTGTAATCGTATTGCTAAGATATGCGTGTGGGAAAAAAGAATACGTGACAAATGTGTTAAAAACAAAAACAATCATTTTACATCTTAGTC